AATCAGCCCATTTACAATTCTACTGTACATAAAAACATGTTAATATCCCCCATTTGGGAATGGCTTAAAGACACTTCAGTCAGCAGTACTGCCCTGAGGGGGTGGGGTGTCCTGCCATAAGAAAGGGAACACAGTCAAGACTCACATTATTAAAATGGTCAAGTTTGACGTTATTGTCAGCTTTATTTCTCTCTTCATATTTAATTTTCATTAAAGCAGTATATAATTCAAATTCTATATATATCTACATGCGTATTTACTATTCCTGTACAGCCAAGAAAAATTCCCACTGGTTCAATAAAGTATCAACTTACTTATCTTACTTTATCTTATCTTATCTTGTCTATCTTATTTTATCACCATAGTCAAAACACAATCAGTCCTAGTGGCTTGCTGTTGGAACCACTGTGCCATAAGCCTTTATGACAAAGACGTTAAATTAATTTTTGGCAATTGTCAAAAACAAGTTTCACACAACAAAATAGGTTTATTTCTTTTGATTTAATGACTGATTTGGAAGAATATGTCACTTTCAGGTTTCAAACTAAAAGAGGGCTCCAGCACAATGGAAACCCCTTTCGGAAATAAAGAGTTAAGTTTCTTTTTTTTTCCATGTTTTTAATTATTGGAATGATAGAAATATGTGCTACTTGTTTCATATTCCCAATTATCTAATTATCAATATAGACATGGTTTTTTTGTGTGTGTGTGTTATAAAAACCTAAACATTGCCACATTTTCACTAAAGATGAAGTATTACATGTAATTACGTGCACTTAGGTAAAGGCTACTACCTTTAAATTTTCTCAAAACAAAAAAAGAGCAAAATGTGATGTGACTATGATGATTTGACGTGGGGTTGTTAAATGTTCCAAAGTATACGAGAAAAAAAAATTGTGAAATTATATACAGCATTATACTTTCAGTGTAATTGTAAGTTATTCAAAGAGCAGACTGGTGGGACACCTAACTCAAGGTGGCCTGTTAACAGATAGCTAGAATGTTATTTTTCAGGTCTTTCCCCTATCTCGCTTCTTGGGTAACTGGGATATAGGGTGCCCTTGATCAAAACACAGATTAGGTCACCAGTCAGGAAGTGTTAAGGAAACCAAGATGGATCCCAGTAAGAGATAAGGTAGGAAGAAGGTGGTGGCGATGGATTGGACATACTCTCAGGAAGTCAGGCAGCTGAATAACAAAGAAAGTGTTGGATTGGAATCCACAGGGTAAAAGATCAGGGGAAGACCACATGGAAGCTGGAGAAGAGTCATGGAAATGGATGTACAGAAATTGATGTACAGAAAAGTGGGAAGACATGGAGTAACACAAAGTAGCTAGCCCAGGATAGGAAAAGGTGGAAAGTGTTTGTTCGTGGCCTATATCCTGATCCAGGAATGAGAAAAGCGATGATAATGATGAATATGCAGTCCCATTCTATGACTTAACAAATAGAAAGAGAGACTTCTGTTGACTTACCTGCACAGCATCACACATACACAGCTCAAAACCAGATGGTAACTGCTTCCGCCTTGCTAATGCCGAAATCACCTCGAGCTTCCTCAAATTTTTCAAGGCAATCTCTTCTCTTGCCATTAACAGTTGATCCTCTGGGTTGGGTGAGGACATAAGTCTTTGCTGATGGTTTTGATCAATTTCTATCAAAGATCTGGCAAAATATCACAAATACACATTAAGGACTAGAAGTAATTCAACGGTAGTAATGAAATGTAGTATGCACTGTTACGAATACAGATATAAGAGAGGCAATTTCACAGAGTTTAACTTCATTAGTAAAGAAGCCATTGAGTCAAAATCTAGAAGAAATATAAAAATGAACAGCCATCACAGTAACTGTGCGATAGCAACTAGATTCAACAGACTAGCTTGGGTAAAGGCAACTAAACTTGTTAGGTCAACTTGAGCAACAATAAATAATTAAACTCATTCTGATATGCTTTTGAAATGGGTTTTTTTTTAAAAGAAAGAAAGAAAAAAAATTATCAGTTTCTATCTAAGGCATATTTTTTCAATATGCGTGTGTTCATACAGGATGTAAAGCTTCACAGTGTATATCATAAGTAGGAAGAAGGCAGTGTGGCTGCATAAAGACATACAACAGACACAGAGGGGTACAGGAAAAGTAACCTGGCATCTACATTAAGCAGAGACATGCTCAGATGATGGTGATGATGATTGTGAGATGATGATGATGATGATGATGATGATGATGATGATGATGATGATGATGATGATTTTTATAAAGTTCCCAGCAAAGCCCTTAAGGCAAAACGTTGAACCGTTCTAGAAGATTATAGAGCCATTTATGCTCAAGTCTCCACCGATTTTTTTCTGATCTTGCTTCCTTAAATGATGATGATGATGATGATGATGATGATGATGATGATGATGATGATGATAATGATAACAACGACGACGACGATGATGACAATGATGATGATGATGAACTCATAAACAAGCAGCTGATAAAGACAGAGTGGATGGATGAGAGCGAACCTGAAGTTGTCAGGAGTAGGCAACCACTGGTGGAAGAAACCCTTGACTAATGTCATATTCCTGTGACTGTCCACACTAAGCATGGACAAGCCGTCCTCCAGATCCGCTCCGATATCACCGTCGCTAGCCCTTAAGCCATACATCCTGAGGAAAATTAAACTATTTTTGTGGATGGGTCGGCGGGTGCTCTAGTGTGGTTTGCTCCTGCTTGGTTACTTACTACTACTTGGTTGTTACTCGGTTGGAGAAAAGGTATAATCACAGGTGGTACAATGCCCTAGTTGCTCCTCCCTCCTCTCCAGGATCCATGAAAGGGTTGGTTATCATGCTAGTTATCAGCTGGTTGGATATTCTTCAGGCTTTTCCATGCAGGTTGCTCTCTCTCCTTTCCTTTCAAACATTTTTTGAAGGCTTATCTCTCCCCCTCTTTTTTGTGCTTGTTATTGTCTTGTAACATCTCTAACCTTCGGCACTTATATGGCCTTAATGTGTTGCAAAAGCAGTAAAACTCTTATAAAAAATAAAACTATTTTGTCTTACAATTGAATAAGTGTAAAAAAATGAATCCATATTAAGCAAGACAAGGTGGATTCGGACACTCATCGATTTTTGGGCATAAGGAGTTGCTGGTATAATCTTCAAGCTTGTTTATTTGTCTTGCTTTTGATGAAAAAATACACCCATCCATCTTGAATGGAATTGGAGACATTTGCAATTGAAGGAGGTTGGAGTCGCCATGTGTCAGAGGAAAAATTAGCTGAAATGGCTGCCAAAATGTAGTGACTTCCCAAGTTTAGGCATCCTTGGAAACTGCAAATTTACGTTCTTTTTTTTTTTTTGTTCCTTTGATCAACATTTTTCAGCAAAATCCAATCAGACAGATTGGGTTTTTCTTGGACGTAAAATATGCTGGGTTAAAATACAAATTTGAAAAAAATTTCCCAACGGATTAAAAATAATGTCGTTTTCCTTGATTTCATTATTTTGACAAGTGCCTGAATTCACCATGATGCCACAGAAATAATGCTTTTTACTAAAATCCTAAAGTAATATAAATTTTGTTTATTGTGTCCACTAACTTTTCAAACTCAATCATTAATTCTCCTTTTAAACTTACAAGCTACAACTCTACTTCTTTAACCCCTTCGGGACACAGGGTCAGTTGGTGCTTCACCTGGATCCCCAGGGACAAAAAAGTAGTGTTAGATTTAGTGGTCAATTGCCTACAATTAGACCTGGTTGATAAATACTACTTATCATTACTTCTAAAAAGGAAAAGATTTCTTTGTAGAGAAAAAAAATATCGCTGAATTTGAATCTGCAATTAGTTTTATGAAATACATCTAACAGAATCAGTATGCAAAATACAATGTATGACGAACAGCGTCCATCATCATGGTCCTTGCGCTTCACAAGGCATGACGAACGCCGTACATCATAGTAGCATCTTGACCCCTTTGATGTATAAGAAAAAAAATGACAAACGGCGAACGACATATAGGTCACAAAGGGGTTAAAATTTTTTTAAATGATAAGATTGTAAAACAAACAATTTTAAAAAAAATTAACGTTAATAAAATAATAGAATTGAAGTGTCCTTACTTGATTCCATCATCATCTCTGTGGGTTTTATGAGTGATTGATGGTAATGGTTGGTATCGTTGCAGTTTTTTTCCATTTTCTTGATCTCCATCATGCAACGGCGACAAGGGTCTGAAGTTTTTATGATAACTTGAGTCTCTGAATCTTCCCACTTGTGAAGTTGGTCTGTGAATTACCTGGAGATACACAATATACAATTGATATAAATGATATACTGGTTTCGAATATGATTTGAGCCCTTTTGTATCATTCATAAAGCATAATATATGCTTGAAAAATGTAACTAACATTACATTTCTCTGTTGGAGCAATAAGAATGAGTAGACGTAGATCTGTATGACCCAACTTTACAGGGTAGGTGATAAAATCTGGCGTACCGTTGCACTTTAGATTTTCTCACAACATCAATGATTCATTTATGAAATGAAATACCTTTTAAGTGAAAACTGTCTTACACTGAAGTGAATGAAAGCGTAAACATATTGAATGCTCACAGAAAACATGATAAGAAAACTTTGAAGAGGACAAAATAGCGTAAATAAATTGTCTAAAGATCAAATGCAAAATATAACACCTACAGTATTATCCAGGAATTCTACTAGCAGTCGGTATCTCCTTCGAGTGTCGGCACTTCCGTCGGGGTTCTGCAAAGCATCTCGAAAGTGCTTGTACCAGTCAGAATCTTTACTTTTTGTGGGCAGAAGATCAACCAGAATGCGAGCTTTGTCCTGAAATTCAGATAAAGGGCAGATTACATAAAAGTAATATGTGATACAAGTGTACATTTGCATGTTACTGGTGAATAGTTTTTACATGTACTACTTTAGCCCCCCACACCTGAGGGAAAAGTTACAATAATCTGAAAGTAGGTACCAGAAACTAATCAAAGTAGCTGTATACCAAATGTATCTGTTCCTTATGAAAGGTCTATGTCTCCTGAGAATTTTGGTATCATTCTTTTACCTCTCAGTCAATTTTTAAGAAAATGGCAGCTGTTTTAAATTTGATAAAACATTGCTTAATTGCTAACTGGCTGCAACCCAATGTTTGACAGACATTAAAAGAGTACCAAGTACACCAAACATCTCCACATTAACGGAGTACAATCGCTATATCACAGATATGGAGCTTAATTTTTTTCAAGACTGTGAGATCAATACAAACCAGTATTTTATTGCCTCAAACACGATGATTTGTCGTTATTTCGACAAAAACACAGAGTGCTGACCCGGCCGGCGCCGCAACCGCCCCCCTGGTGAGCGAGCTGGCTCTATACTGCAGTGTATTGAGTGCTCCCCACATGGGGGGTCACATGCTTGCGGAGTTTTGCAGAAGGATTGATGACTTTATTCAAATAGAAAATAAACTGATCTTTCAGTCAGTACCTTTTTTGAGCTGGTATTTTACAACGATCTTTGAAATCTTTGACATCATTTTTAAAGTCTTTCTATTTAAATGCCAAGGCCAAAAATATGCCACGGGTAAACCCGTTCAAAGCTCTATTGTTCTCCGCCAATGAAAAGACGGTATTTAATCATAAAGCTTCCCCCAAAGCATTCAAATGCATTTTGGAGTCAATTTTTTAACCGGCTAACCACACATTCCGATCGCGAGGGGCTTCGTTTTCCTTGGCAATTCTCCAGCTCCAAATACTCGGATACAAACAACTTACACCACAGTAACGAGGAAAAGCTGAAATTTTTCAAGGCGTAGAGCATTTGGTGTTTTATATCGAAAGAGGGAAGAAACAGCGATCCGAAATAGCCCGATTTCACTGAAATCATGCGCTCGGAAGGCCATGAGTGCCTGCAAGGCCGTGTTTACGCTACCTACTGAAAGAGTTAAATATCTGGGAATATTTACATTACTACTTCCTTATCTGAAAGAGAAAAGATGCTCTTAATGTATCATATATTACCAACCTGTGGAGTTCTGCCACTTTCTATTTTCTTCAAATCTTTTGGGCCAACTACACCAGATTCCATCAACAACCCGGTGATGTGCTCTACCCGCAGTTCTTGAACCAGTGCTATTCTGTTCACCTTCAGTCGCATGATGTTTTGTCTATCCATACCTGTAGAGGGTACGGATGAAGAACCTGGAAGAGTAGGACTGAGGACAAAATTCAATCGAAAAGCAAATAATTACAACAGAGTAAAGATTCAAATTATTTTAAAACTGATATCCTATGATATATAAAGGCCTAAGAAAGAACCAGTAGACAAACATTAGCAGACTTTTTTATTTCCTGCACACAATACTCAGACATAGTTCAATATTAATCGTAACACTCACATTCATTAATCTGAAGTTGATCAAAGAGCAGGTGTTGTTGGCATAAGACTGGATATTCCATGTATGCTGACAATGCAACCATGTATAAATTAGGCAATTTAGTGCATATCTTTTTTAGCTCACCCAAAGCTGGACAGCCTAAATATTTCTAGTGATAAGACCAGAGCAATGAGAGATCAAGAAGTTTGTTTTTTTTTAACAGAAAAAAACCACCATTAAAACGGGCCTTGTCCCCTCGAACCTCTCCTCCTTCCAATGTCATGTCGAGATATTGCATAGATGGCAAAAGACCTCACAGGTTTCGGCCTCTTTGGCATATGATGAATATAACTACAACCGAAAATTTAACTTAGCAGCTAAAATTTTCAAGCATTACATTTGAGCAATTGCCTCGATTGCAAATCAATGTGCATGCCAACCATACATGTGCACGTAAGAAAGGTAAAGAATAACTTCGAAAGAAGATAAAGAAAGTGGCACAATAAAAAGGAGTCAAAGATTGCAAAAACAGCACTTTTGAAAACGTAAGGTGGGTAGGGGGTACCATCAAATTAGATAACTATACTATACGACAGTAGGGCTGTAAGTAGTAAGTAAGTAGTGACTTCTAGGGCCTAAAGTGTAGGCAAGGTGTAGAGTGCGCGCCAGGGCTGAGGATAGTTTTATCTATTATTATGACAAAAGGGACATGAATTAATAAAATATAAAGGAAATTCATACTCCTTCAACACAAATGTGTTGCGTCTGATGGACGTAGTCATTTTGGCTACAGTAGCTTTGCCGCCCTTGATGCTGCAATTTGAGCACAACCCACAGAGATTGTGGTGCTAAGATATTGTTTACATGGTTGTCAATCCGCCATCTTGCGGGTAGAAACGAGAATTAAATGCACGGTCATGGGTTAAATAATACGGGAGAGAGCACAATGTTTGTCTAAATAGAAATAGTTTCGACTCTTATATGAATGGTGTTCAAATAGTAAAATCCCCCATTTTTTTGGTGGAAGTCTCTTGCTACTAAAGAATTCAAAAGTAGTATAACCGATCCATAGATATAGATATATGGATAGATTTCTATCATTAGTTGATTGGGAAATATAATTACTAAAAAATTGTGCTAAATATAGCAGACTGGTGGCCTTATGTCTAGACCCACACTGGCTGGCCTTGATCAAAGCCCGTACAATGGAAGAAGAAGAAGAAGAAGAAGAAGAAGAAGAAGAAGAAGAAGAAGAAGAAGAAGAAGAAGAAGAAGAAGAAGCTT